TCCGCTTGTCTGCACAAAGCGAAAGGTGTAAGATAATTGGAAAGTTTCTGCGTAGAGGCTATACAAAACCTATAATTCGATCACTTAATCGAATAGCATTTGCGCGACTACCTCCCGACGTCCTCCACTGCGACAAGATAAACGGTTAGTCGACCTTAATCTATTAGAATCCTGTTTCCCGGTGATGATACGGTCAGGTAACGTTCAAGTCGTTATGCGTGTCGTCAAAAAAACAATCCTAACGATCCATCCATTCTTAGTGAACGGATTTTTTGTATTCATATTTAAGTCTACCTTCGATGAGTGAGTGGTCGGCTGAGCGACTTCCTCGTCGTTGGCGAAAAATCGAATGGCGGTAGCTGGATTTAGGACTGCAATGGCTAGAGACACTACCGTCAGCATGGTCGCACGACCCATCTGAAATCAGGCAATCAGGCAAAAAGACAGAATCAAATGCTGGTGGACGAGGCTCGGCCAGAGCAAATGTGTAGGCAAGAAAGGGAAGTATTAAGTGAACAGTGAAGTAGGAAGCTGAGCTTAATCCGCTGAATGTCACGAAATTGTGATAGCAAGCAAAACCCCCTACGACATTCGTGAATATTTCTTAGAAGGAAAAACACTCGAATGAAACGAAGAACTATAACTTTCCCAAGGAAAAAGATGTGCGGGGGAGCCGACGTCAAGCATGAAAGACAAACAAATCTCCGTACGTGAATAGATAAAAGTTTATGTGAGAATAAAACTCGAAGAGGAACTGCGCATTGCCCAAAAAAGGTAACGACACTGAGGAACAGGACAATCCCGAGGTATTGAATTCGGTTTAGTGACCGCCGTACGCAGGGAAGGTGTCACCCGCAGCGAACGGGTGGTTCTCCATGCGAGCGAACAGCAATCGGGTCAAATATGGAACACTTCGAATTTGAGATGATCCCACCGCATCCCTTTGTTCACTGATAAAAATCGCTTGACGGCACGTCAAACTAGCACAGAAGCACAAGTAATTTTATTTGTTTATTTGTTTATACGCTACATAAGGTAGACGTGAGAAATAAACAACAGCACGATTCATACAGGTGTGTGTAGCAGCATGAAATAGCACCTTAGAATAAACCAAATAAG